CCTCTCACACTGGATGGTCCCCCCACAGCCTGGCTTTCTGTGAGGGGGAAAATGCAGGCCACAGTCTCTGCAAATCTAGCCAGGATCTGGGTAGAGTCATCCGTGGTTAGGCTGTCTCTCTGGATACAGGCACAGGTGGAGGAGACCGGAGCAGTGTTGGCACTGGCGATGCGGCCCTTCCTAACCATAACGCTTATATTATGACTTCCCTCCTAGGTCAGCCCTACTCCCTCGTTAATCACACAAGGGGAGGGTGATCACAAGGCTGATTGAGGATGATCAAGGGAACAAAGGCTCAAACTGTCCCCAAACACACAATCCTAATTGACCCTGTAACTGAAATAACCTGAAAGAAAAACACAAACAGCCAAACAAACTCATTCACCCCAAAGTTAGTACTCGCACCTTGTTCGTTCAGCAGGGGGATCTCCTTCGCCCTCTCCCAAACTCCCCTGTTGGTGGTCCCCTTCTCGGGGTTCAGGTTGTTTCCAGCATAGGTGGGGGTGGAGAAAGGCCCCCTCATGCTGCAGCTGTTCCTTATGTTAGACCCTTGGCCCATGTGCCTGGTAGGCACTAGCGCAGGCATGTCCTGGTGGGCTTTGCTGAGTCACTGTGCACAAGCAGCCCCCAAGTCACAGTGATCGAGCTGTTCCCACTGCGTGGTGCTTGCATAGTTGAGTCATACAGTGGATTAATGGGTGGTCAACACCCACCTGGGCAGGGGTTTTTGTGTGTCACTAGCAAAATTATAGCGTATTTTAGTAACAACCATACAGCACAATCTCATAACTTTATACACACTAGTGATACCCATATTTGGACAGAACAAGGGATTTCAGCGGATCGTGACCGTTCATATACCATGCTTTGTATGAAACATCACTACCATATATGAATGATGACTATGGGGGTTCCAGGGTGTCGGTCTGAGGTACGGTATGTCACACGCTCCCCAAAGCTCTTACCCTGATCCCTGATCCCTACCACTGAGACCCCAAATGTATCCCCAACCCCCACCCCACTGCTAGTGCCTGAATCCTATCCCTTAATCCTGTCCCGCAACCCATACACTGACACCTAATTGTAACCCTATTATTCTTCTCTTATCCCATGACCCTATCACCCTACCACCTCACCCAGCCTCCCACCCTCTCGTCCTGCCCCCCACTTCTACACGCTGCCCCATCCCCACTAATGCTAACCAAGAACCCCACTATTTAACCCCACACCCAGTCCTACTTTATAAGCCTGTTGCCTCTCCTGTAACCCTAATGCATCACCCTAACCCTGAACTTAACAGTTCCAGCCATCCAACCACTTAACTCTAACACCCAACCAGAACTGCCGAACTCCAGTTATTGACCCTAACACCCTAATTATAACTCTGCTCCCCAAATCTGACCACCTGACCCTAACTCTTAAACTTTTAACCTTTAAACTTACCCCTAGCCACTCTACCTTACAAGCCTGTTGCCTCTCCTGCAGGCATAACCATCCTACCCTAAACCAGAACTTAACGGTTCCAGCCAACTCCATCACCCTAATACTTAACCCTAACACCCAATGGGACCTGGAACCCCTGAGCTCCAATTCCCAACCCTAACACCCTATTTATAATCTGACTACCTGACTCTAACTCTTAAACCTGTAACCCTTAAACCTACTCCTAATCACCCTGACCCTCAGCTCTCCTCACAATCACAGTTGGCTTCAGACCCCAGATTTTAGGTCTGAGCCAACCCGAAGCCCAACCCCACTTCCTTCCTTGCCTATCCAGATTGTAAACCCAGCATGGCCTGGCCCAGCCCACCTGCAAAGTGCCACTCACCCTCCCAGAGCAGGAGAAATAATAATAGATACAGCAGTTAACGATGGAAGAAATGATGGTTCAATGCTTCTTCAACTGAGCTCTGAGTTGATCTGAGAGAACAGAGCCATGGGGAATGCTGGAAGTTGGGATCTGGGTGGCTTGCCTTTCCAGGGGATGGCCATTCTGCAGGAGTTGTGCCAATCTCATGTGCTCTGGGGGTCTGTGCTAGCAGCCCTGGTTACTGGGACAATGATTAGGTGGTTGAACATGGGCCTTTCCCCTCTAGGGGACGCTAGATCTGATGTGAGGAGGGGGAGGGAAGAGGGAACCAGCTGGTTCAGGGGATGAGGAAATGGACATGGGGCCTTTACGCTCTCGAGGGCTCTGGTTCCAGATTTTGTCATTCCCATCAGTGTGCACTGAGTTGTGGAGGCTCAGACCAACCCCCAGGTGGCCCAGCGCCCCTGTCCCAAACCCCCCCAGCCGCTGAGCAGGGAGGCTGAGGGATGATTGGACTACAGAGTCCCTGCCCCTCAGAGGGGATCTGTGCAGGGATGGGGGTCATGGGGAGGGGGTGCTGTGTGCATGTGGAGCACTCTCCCTATCCCTATACCCACTTAGCCTCCTCCCCATACCCTGCCAGCTGGCTGAGAAAACATCTGTCTCTGAGGCTTGTATTGTATAATGGCCCACAAATGTCATCAATAAACCACCAATTTCCTTAGACTCCCTGGTGTGTACTCTTCTTCCTCACAGTCCACTGAGCACCATCAAGGAGGGGATTGGGGCTAGTGGGTTAGAGCACAGAGGGTGGGGGTCAGGATTCCTGGGTTCTCTCCCAAGGACTGGGAGGGGAGTGGTCTCTAGTGGTTAGAGCAGAGGGGGGCTGGGAGTTAGGACTCCTGGGTGTTATCACTTGTCTGGGGATGAGAGGGGGGTCTAAGGGTTAGAGATGTGTGAGCTGGAAGTCAAGCCGCCTGGGTTCTATCTCAGACCTTGGAGGGCATTGAGGTCTAATTGGTTAGACTGGGGAGGCTGGGAGTCAGGACTCCTGGGTTCCATATCTTTGGGTGCAGAGTGTGATCTCTACACTTTGTCATTTGCCTCTTCAAACACCAGAGCAGCATGGACCCCCTATGTAGTCTTTGTTCCCCATTATCTCAACACAACTCCCATTGTGCCCACTCTCTCCTGCTCAGGAGCAGCTAATCAACCTCACACACCAGGGTTCTGTCTCCTGACTGAATATGCTTTAATGCACTGGGGATGGAGGAATTGCTGAGGGAGGGTCAATCCATGGATTCCCAGCTGGTTCATTAGCAGGATCCTCGTGAATGAATCGCAGGCACTAACAGGAACGGGATCCTGTGGTGTGCAGGGAGGGTTCGATTGTAATTGCTCAGCTCTTCATTCACGACCCCCCGGGCTGGGCATGTCTGCTCCTGTGGGACACACAGCGAGTGGGGTTAACAGCAGCGGGGATGAGCTCAGACTAGGCGGGGGTTGGTCTACTTGTAAACAGGAGGGGAGACCTGCAGGGGAAACCAGGTGCTGCACAGGCTCAGTATGGGACGCTCACCCCTTACGGTCAGTGCTAATCTCCATGCACTAAGGGGTGCTTTTTTGCAAAGAGCGGCATGGGGGGGGGCAGGAGAGGGCTGTCCTCCCACATTTAGTGCCCCCCCAGTGCTGTATTCTAGCAGTAGGGGATGCTGTTCTGCTGGAGTTCCCATGTTTCCCAGCATCTGTAACCCCAGGGTCCAACATGCAAGGTTCTGTTCTGCCTTCCATAAGAAGCCCCCTGGCACACAGGATTCCCAGTGGCTATTGGCTTCTCCTTGAATCCCTGTCTTACACAGTTATCCAGAGGCTGCATCCCTCCCAAGAGCCAGCTGCATGTCATCCTTTCACTGCTGCCTTTCTCTTCCGTGTCATTACAGGCCACTTACCCTCAGCCCAGAGGGTCCTTCCCTCAATCCCCACCTCCCTACTGGGAATCCCTCTGTCTGAGCTCATTCCTCCTCCCCTGAAATGGGGGCTACATGGGGAGACCTTGGAGAGGAAGCATGGTTGTCATCCTCCTACCCAGCAACAGAAGATGGGGTAGAACCTGGGGCTGCCCCAGAGCAGATGGGATCTGGAGTTCCCAGGATATGCAAGTTCTACCCCAGACAGGAGAATGGAGCATCTCTTGGAGACCAGAAGCTCCCATGGAAATGGGAATGTGAGCTGGGATCTTTTGCTTCTAGAGGGGAGCCATCTCCAATCCAGCCCAAGGGTGGCTGAGAGGGGTGGGGAGAGACGGGGCCTTTCCCCTCTAGGGCTGCCATCCTCTCATCCTGCTGATGCTCACCTGGGGCCTTTGGTTTCTCTGACAGCAGTGATGCCAAGAATTCACAGCGCGAGGCAGGTGATGCCTTCTCAGCTTCGGGCGGCTTCAGGCTGATGCGCTTAAAGTTCTGCTTTGCGGGATCGTAGGTGGGCCACAGCTGCTCGCTGCCCTCCCCCACCATGGGTTTCCTGCATGGAAAATGAACATGCCCCACTAAGGTTAGTACTGTGGCTTGGTGGGGACAGGAACCTGCCCCAACTGGTGTCTAACATCCCAGATGCAGGGATGATTATGAGCCAACTTGAAAAGTTTGGCCTCTTTCCAAAATGGCTGCTATCCCATGTTGCTGCAAATGAGAGTGAAGCCAGAGGCTGCCCTCAGTTAAGATGGGTGCTGCCTCCCGGTCTTTTCATATGGGGTAATCCTACAGGTTGCCCTTTATAAACATGGCCACTTTATTCCATTCTTCTCCATGAGATTAAAGCCACAGGCAGCCCTAAGTAATAATGGCTGCCATTGGCCTATGACCCTTTATAAAATGAGACTTCCCCTAGGGAAGATGGCCACTGTTTTCCATTGTTTGCAATGGGACTGAAGCCAGGCTTCCCTCAGAGAAGATGGGCATCCTTTGTGCTCGCAGACAGGAAAGGGCAGTGTGGGGAGCAGAGCAACATGCGGGGTGAAGGGGGCATGGATAGGGAATGTGGGTGCATAGATAGGAGGATCTGAACTGGAAGGGAGTGTCAAGTTTTGCTCTTACTTAAGATGGTGTCTCTCACTTGTCCTTTCAACTAGGATGCTGCCCTTGCAAAAAATGGCCACCGTATCTCACTGTGATCAAGGAGACTGAAGCCACAAGCTGCCCTGAGTCAGCTGCCATTTGCCTATAGCCCTTGCACATGGCAGCCAGGTTGTCCCTAGGACAGATGGCCACCACCCACCATTGTTCTTAAGGAGGCAGAAGCCACAGGCTGCCCTCAAGGAAGATGGCCTCCCTGAACATGAAGACTGGCAACTAGCAGGGACGTTGCCTGTAGGAAAGATGTTGGAGGCAGCCTGCTGGTAGCTGTAATTTGCAGACCTCCCAGGTGCTCTATGCAGTGCCCAAAGCGGCACAGTCAGGGATTTCCCCATGTTTGATGCTCACAGCCTGTGTCACATTGGTTGTGGGACTGCGGGGATGTGAACAGGGTCTGTGTGAGAACACATGGGGGAGGGGTGAGAGAGTGGCCCTCCTTAGAGTCATAGATTCCAGGACCAGAAGAGACCATTGTGATCATCTAGTATAACCTCCTGTATAACACAAGCCACAGGAGTTCCCAAAATAATTCCTAGATCAGTGGTTCCCAAATTTGTTCCGCCGCTTGTGCAGGGAAAGCCCCTGGCGAGCCGGGCTGGTTTGTTTACCTGCCGCATCCGCAGGTTCGGGTGATTGTGGTTCCCAGTGCCCGCGGTTTGCTGCTCCAGGCCAATGGGAGCTGCTGGAAGTGGCACGGGCCAAGGGACATGTTTTTTCCCCAGATTTATTTATTGAACGCTTCTGCCTTTTCTGCATTACCATTTCCATCTAGTAATGGACCAATTCTATTGTGAGGATTCTTTTTGTTCCTAATATCATCAAAGAACCCCTTATTGTCCTAAATGCTGCTGACCATAGATTTCGCCATGTGCCTCTTTGCTTCCCTTATCAATTTTCTACAGTTCCTAATGTCTGATTTATACTCATTACTATAAACTTCTCCTTTCTTCCATTTGTGGTATATTATGTTTTTGTTTTTCACAGCTGCCATCCCTTCCCTAATCTGGGAAGAAATTAGCCCACGCTGGGTGATTAGGACCAGAATGAGGAATATTGATGAGGATTTTTTTGGGGGGTTGCTTGCTTATTTTTGTTGCAAGGGATCATGTCTTTTTATCTATGCTCTACTGTATGCTTAACAGTTGCATTGCCACAGTTTTCTTAAGCAGAGACTGCCACAGCTATGCTGACCTAGTCCATAGGAAAGCTGTATTTATGTTGATGGAAAGATGCTTTTGTCAATGTAGCTCCCGTTTTTGGGGAAGGTGATTCTTCCCAACTACTGAAGCAACCCCGTTTGCTGCTGCAGGCTGTACTGACATGATGAGCTGACGTAGCTAGGCCTGTATAGTGTTTGTAGCATAAACATCCCCTGAGTTTGTGTGGCAGGGCTGGGAAAGGGCAGGCAGAGCTTTGAGATCATTCACTACTAGCTGAAAACCTTGTTTCCTTGAATGAGAGTGGGTGTGTTCATAGGACCAGTGACATCCTGATGTGGGAAGAAGGGAATTATCCCTAACCTGTAACCAGGGGGCTCGGATTATATGTCCCTGAAATAAATTCAGCTCTAGGTCAGGGGCTTCACCCAAATAGATTATCTGTTTTTCAAAGAGACCCCTTCTTTGCCATGGCATTGAGCCGGGTGTTCCTGGATGTTGCGGACACCTGGCCAAAGAGTTACAGTTGCTCCCATGGTCTGGATCGGGGAGACAAGAGGATTGTGGGGGATTTCCTTACCCGCTCCAGGTGTACACTGCAAGGTAATGCATTGCCCTGCGGCTCAGCGCTACCTCAGCCTCTGTGTGGTTGGATCCTACCACGGATGCCAGGGTCCTGAACTCATAGGGCATCTCAGAGCCCTGTGGCACCTCCATCCATTCAGGTGCAGACAAGCCGCTGCTACGGTGGGCGAAGTGGTAGGCATACACGGGATTTCCAGCCTCTGTCTGAAGGAAATACATTCTGCTGCAGTTATGCCTTTCACCCACCAGGGGCCACTGTGCCACCAAAACAGAGAGCAGCCAGTCCCGGGCCAGCCCCAGCTGTGGATAGGGAGGAGAAGAGGTTGCCTTCCACACAGTACCATGCTGGTGGGGCCAGGTCGGAAGGCACAGGATATGGGGGGGAGGGGTGGACAGTGAGGGGCACATGAGGCTGCTGGGGGGGGTCACAGAGTGGGGTTCATAAGGGCTAGTAGGGGGACTGATTGGGGGTCTGAATTGGAGTGGGGGTGTAGGG